AGCTAATCTGGTTTGGCGATTTATTCGTATATATCCGGCCGTCAGGCACAGAAGCCTGAACCCCTTTCTTTTCCTTTCGTAGTTTACTTTTAAAAACAAGTTTACGGCATTCGGGTGACAAGTTCTCATTTATGAATATTTTTTGTTGTTCTCTGAATACTAGGTCATTCAATAAGTGATGCCCTTGACCCATTTCCCATAGCGAGAGTTTGATGAAACTTGGTTATAAGTCTTTCTCCGCATAGGAACCACCCAAAGTTATGCATTTCTCCCATCGTTTGATGCAGCTCTGGATACCGTTTTTGTAGAACACCCCAGGTTGGTCCTCCAACCACGTCGTAACTTCAGAAATCAAGGCTGCATCATCTGGGAAACACTTTCCTTTCAAAAACAACTTCATCGCTGGGAAGAGATGAAAGTCAGAGGGTGCAAAGTCAGGAGAGTAAGGGGGATGGGGTAGGATTTCATAGCCAAACGCCCGTGCTTCTGATCTGGCGACATGCGAGCTATGGACCGGAGCGTTGTCCTGCAGGAGGAGGATACCTTTGCTGATCTTGCCCCGCCTCTTGATTTTGATAGCTTCTCTTAATTTCATCAAAAGTGTAGCGTGATAAGCTCCTGTAATTGTGGTACCCATTGCCAGGAAATCTATTATCACTACTCCGTCCTGGTTCCAGAAGACTGTGAGTATGACCTTGTCAGCGGAGGGCTGCACCCTTGCCTTCTTTGGAGGTGGTGAGTCCAAGTGCTTCTACTGCATGGACTGGGCTTTGGTCTCTAGATTATAGTGATGGACCCAAGTTTCATCCTGTGTAATCAGTCTTTTGAAAAAAACTTTGAGCACTCAACGCGTTCCTGCTTCTGGAAAGGTGTGAGCAACCTGGGAATCCATCTGGCGAACACTTATGCATATGCAAATGGTCATGAATGATACTTTCCACAGACCCTGTACTAATTTTGACCTCTTGGGCTATTTGGCGAACAGTAATACGTCGATCTTCCAAAATGGCTGCCTCAACTTTACGGACAGATGCCTCATCAATGGAAGAAGAGGGACGACCAGGTCTGGAACATAACCCATAGAAATGTAAATAATTACACATGGAAGTGGATCAGGGGCATTACTTATTTAACGCCCCTCGTATATCCTATAATTTGTGGTGGCTATCATAGTGCTGATCCGCTGTCCTCTGGTAGTGAATCTGACAATGATGGGTCGATGTCGGATTGGACTTTGTTCTAAATTTTGTTTTTGTCCATTTCTATGCATAATATCGATATATTATGATCTTTAGTTTCCGAAACGACTTTCTTTAGTATGTCAAGTGCAATCTTATCCAGGTCTCATGTTCATTTTCAGGAATGACACATATTTCAAGGTTGACCCGACGGTGGTACTGCTTGATATTTCAAGTTTTAGGGCAGATAGTGTGTTGTGGAGCCCTATATTTTCAGACATATGCTATTTGTTTGTACAATGCAGCGACTGACATTGTCGCATACGACTTATTTACCACTTCCGTGTCACTGAGAATGTTCTAGAACCGTACTGTGTCTGGGTGGAATATTCTAGATTTTTTTAGAAACTGGTTGAATAGGTAATATAACACTGTAGGAGGCAATAGAAGACAATGGAACATTCTAGAAATTTGTAGTAAGTTCCAGACTCATTATGTATGCTGATGTAATGGTCTATTTATAGACAGTGGGGGTATATATAGGGGAGTTGTTCAGCACTGAGTTCAGATCGAAGATCTCGTTGAATTGTATTGGAGTTTAAGTATCTAATTATTGGAGTAGTGGAGTTTTACCGCGTTATTGTACTTGATGTTTGCAGAGTATAATAATACCAGTACCAGTTGAAACCTCATCTGTTGGCTCCGTGTTCGTATTTTATCATCGCCGCCAGGGAAGTCTTTTTGTTACTGTTGCCATTTTGATATTTGAACCATTACACATGTACCACACCAATTACGGTAATATTACGTTTCGTGTGACAGACATTGCTTTCACATCTCTTCAAACTGTGCATTCATAAAGTTTATGCATTTAATAACTGTAACTTGAGATGTTTTGACTTCTTTAATGTCTGAGCTGATCGTAGAACGGTATCGTTTATTTGAATGAAATTCCATATGACTAAGCGCATGTCCGTACTACATGGTGATTGTCACTATAATGTAAACCTGAAGTCAACCTTGCCTTTTATACTCGCCAGTTTGATTCTTTGCCGCTATCAGAAGATCAAATAACTTGATGGTATGTTAGGAAGGTGTGCAGTTTCACACATTCACACAGGTAAAGGCCATCTTCCACAAGACTGACTACTTTGGTTTTTGCCCAGTCAGCATATTTATTAGTCATGGTGGCAGTAGGAGAGGTCAGAAACTCATCAGATCACTGTTTTTCAGAGATTATAACGTAACATCGATTTTTATTTAGTGTGAATTGTTTTCATAAAATATATAGATTGATATGGACTAAAACAATTCTTCTATGACAATAATTATTTTGAATTTTACTTCCTGAAAACATCTACTACATCTTCAAACTTGGAAAAGTAAAGCAGACACTGGTTGACAAATTTGACATGCATTCATTTTGCCATACAGCACGATCGCCTATCCATAATACAAACTGCGAAAAAACGCATACACGGACATCGAAGTATAATTTGTATATTCCGTTTACTAAACAAATGGAGAAGTCTGATTGATTGAACGTGTCTTTAATGAGCGGAGGCAGTAAGCTGGAGACCAGCTTTATAGTTAAGCTGTTGTTGAAGCACGTATGAGCCGGCGCCATGCCGAGTTCGTTTAAGACGTCCTAAAAAGGCAAGTCTCAACCAGCACCCCGTACTTACAGAAACGATTTTAGAACATGGGAATAATAACGCCTCAATGTCAGCCACGCCCTGGTGTTCCATTCATTGCAAGTATTTTAAAGAAACATGGCGGCCGATAACAACGCCGGCTCAGATTAGTCTTCATACGTGTATGAACACAGAACCAATCAAAACCACTGATAACGATTGTTTGCCAAATTAGTCACAGCATAGTATTTTTTCAATACCCATCGCGTCACAGATACTGTTATATTTAGTATCAGTGTTTAATATGATAGCAAAATTGACATATAATCAACGCGAATTGCACTACAACAGAATACAATTCAAAGCAGCTCCATGCGTCCGCCCCGAATCCTTCTAACGACTATATGGAGAGCAGAGATTGTAAATCATATTAACCTAATTCGTGGAAACAGCCCAGTCATGCTCTAAATGAAACTCCTTGCGTTTAGAAAATCTCTTGGTTGAAACGGCTCAGAAATGTTTAAACGAAAAATACATACATTGTGAACACACAACGACACGGGCAATTCACCCCATATCGAACAATAAAACCAGTTCTCTTTCACAGACTCGCGCACTTGTACTTGTATATATCATCATCTTATAACTTATTAGATGTACCACGTATGTATATACTTAATTTATAAAGTGGACTTTTAGGCACGCGTATTTGTTCACTCGGTGTACGAACAACAAAGCTCTACATAATGCGTAGAATTCATGCTAAGGCAGAATTTGTGATTGGCCGAATTGTCATTTTGAAAAAAAGTGTGCTAGTCAGGGACAATTAATTTTTTTAAAGTTAAGGAACCAACCATAGCAACAACGCCTTTCATAGTTGAAGTACAGTATTTAGTATAAAATAAATAATTCAGGAAATTACAGTTGCAGCGGTCGTGATACCATTGACGTCACCTTTTCATGCGATTTGTAATTGTTGAATGTTGCGGAAAACGCATATCAAAAGCAAACTCATCAATCGTTTCACTAGCGATTATTCTGATTGACAGCTAACATGAACACCAAATTGGCATTTCTAATACACGCATAATAATTTAATCGAATAGTGATTATACAACGTTTAAATAACAATTTACTCATCAGAGATACGACACTTAGTAATCATATTCCGTTTCCGGCATGGTGTGTATTGCGTAGATTGCTGTTCACACTTGATACTAACAATCGACTATCGACTATGCAAACCATTGTTCTATTGACGCGTGCTGCTTAGCAACACATCACGCACTGTGAAACAGTCTTATAAACGTATGACTTGAATGTCAAGAAATTGTTAGATTATCCCCCAGAGATGTTTGTGAACAATTGAAGTAAATGTCAAATCTTAAAAAGCTAAAAACAATGGGAGTCAACATGTACCGAAGAGATGGCGCATAGGACAGTTTCAATTAGTATGTATATTTTTTACACTTGTTATTTAAAGAAAAAGATTAGTAGTTTAAATATGTGTGTGTTGCGTTTCTACTAGTACTTTGTATCGTCAGCAATTATACACGTATTATGCCAATTGCAAGAAGAACGCCAGGCACATCTGCAGTCTGTGGTACATCATCATTAACACTATTATCCCAATATAATGGGATACCGATGGAGTTAATACTTATGATGATCAATACAATACTCATAGTAATATTCATAATAGAAGTAGGGTTATTGCTCGCAGCACATTTCATTATTATAATATCTACGTACAATCAAAGACAAAAAGGTCTAATTCGTAATTATGATTTGTCTATGAATATCAATATCATCATTATAGTGATGACGTAGTTGAGAAGGAGCATATATACAAGGCATAATTTAATACGTCGAATACAAAACTGTCAACTAACAAGCCGCACTCTGATTGGTCTGACTGTTGGTTGGGCAATCAGACATATCTTGCATTGAAGGTTGCTTAGCATTGGCTTTGACGTAATTTAACATTTAGAGCTTATTACAATTGAATATTAAATTCATTCGTGCGCCGCGGTAGAGACAGTTACATATCCACCCAATCATTGCTAGGTTGTTCAGACGTACGACCTTCTAACTACATCGCTTACTATTATCATAAGTACATGGTGTGTGTTTCACATGGACATACACTGACGTGGTTTGTTGTCGGTTACTAATAAACAGGTTAAACATGACTTCGACGTGGCACGTGGCGCGAGTTGTCGCTGCATTAATTGTGATGATATTGATATTGGTAGGAAATGTGGTCAACATCGTTGTCATCAGGAAAGCCAAGACGATTCCAAGAAACGCCAGGTATTTTATGTTGTCTTTGTGTTTAACCGATTTGGGAGTTGGTGCTGCTATTGCCTTTACGATGTACCCCCTAGCTACTGGACACTGGCCATATGGCGACACAGCGTGTATTGCAGTGGGCATTGTTACACATACTCTCTCCGTGACGAGTATCATCGCTTTGTTAGCACTGAGTATTGAACGATATCTTGCTATGGTAAGGCCGTTGAAGTACTCATTACTCGCTACCAAGGGCAGAGCCATTGCTATCAATGCTGCGATATGGATTTCAGTTACACTGTTCTCAATAGTGATATCGTTGATCCAAGGACCAGAGTTCTTCTCGTTTAACGCAAATCAAGGCACATGTGTTGCGCACTACGAACTACCTAAGTATAGAAATTCGGCCTTTTTCTCAGCTATTGTGTTCATCTTTATTCCAACTACAGTCATGATAGCTATTTATTTGGTAATCCTATCCTCGTCTTACAAACATGCTAGAATTGTGACTGAAAACAGAAACGAAAGTTCGAATAGGAGCACCAATCCACCACCGCCATTACTCCCATCTTCCACGTCATCGTTGCCTACTGTCGCTACGCCTACTATAGATATGGAACATACAACAACATCAAGAAATAACACGATAGTGGTTACGATGTTTATTGTAACTGGCACATTTGTAATTTGTTATTATCCGTACGCAATATTGAGTCTGTACACTGCAGCAACAGGGAACACAGCTTCACCAGCCATCGCATTTGCAGTCCGTTTGTTATTGAGATCAAATAGTTTTTTAAACACTTTCATCTACGGATATAGATACAGGTTTGTCAGAGCGGCGTGCACTTCTTTTCTGCGCTGTTATTTCTTGAAACCCAGATCACGTGTCACACCAGATGAGAGCCTACGGACAGTACATCTTTCAAATACTCATGTTTCCATGATTGTCGAACACATTTCTGAACAGGAAACATAGTAGCTTTACGATACTAATTTTGTACGAATACAATTCTAACCGTAAACCAAATTGTATACAATGGTATACAGTATGAAGTGTGGTGATTGCAACATGCGACGGAACGTGAATTTGTGTCAATATGATATACAACCGTGTGGAACATGCGAAGAAAAGTGACCTCCTCGTTCAACATTACAACACACTGTCGAAATACGAAGCATCAACGAAGAATTAGAGATAATCGACGCCCTGGCGACGAAAACTAAAACAGGTTGAAACATCTATAAACTGTGTATTTGAGGACAATGAAAACAAAAGTTACGATAACACAATACAACGTATATATGTCGAACATTGGTGTGTCACGTCGCCCCGGGTAACGTCAATCACATGAAGACCAACGTAATAAATAACTGCAACCAATTATTGTCCGATTAACGAGGAGAAGAGCCTGCGATTATGCATATACAACTCTTATGGCGTTAAAACATCCGACCTTGGTTACATAATCGCAAATCATATTTATATAAATAAAAAAGTGTAATTATTAAAAGGAAACGATTGCGATTGAAAATGTCTATGGACAATACATGACAAGATCTTAACAAAGAGTGACCATTCACCTGTTGTTACATACAAAATAAGCTATATTAGCATCCCAACCGTGTAGCGGTAACAAAAATTGTGTCACCAATTAATCACAATTGTAAATCTTATATATAAATATCCCAGTGTCATCAGATTCGTTTCCTTACTTTATTTCTTTCCAATGTAAGATGAATCGTTTCGTAATTTCATGACGAATTTAAATATACACATACATTTATTATCTGCCTTCATATAATTTCATCTCTAATTGTCGTTGAATGTATTATTCCAGGTGGCTTAAGTAACAACATCTACTGTAGTAGGAAACAATTTCCCCAACAAATTATTGTACACTCACCGACAAGGGTATGTCACATCATACATATCACACCCACAACAATAGATCATTGTCTTTTGATTTTTTCCATTACTTTATTGAAACAAGAACTCTTGAAATTGATGTTATTATCCACTTTCTATTTTTTTCAATATTTAATGATCTACGTCGTTCAATCAACCAAAATATATTAAGAGTTGTCATTCTTTTGAATATCTCGTGGTAAGCCATTTACAATTCACCTGACTCGAATATACATATAAAATTATTCTACAAACTGCTTTGGCGATAAACGTGTTTAATTGAAACAAATATTTAATAAGCCACCATGAAAACATTCGCTGAGTACGAAGCTATTTATTTTGATAAAAATAAGCATAAATTAATTTCTAAAACAAACAAATTCATTGTACAAGCTAAAGTTCTTCGATACGTAATCAATACAAACTATATCGTAACATGCTGACCAAGTATCTTAGTATCTGAAATCTACTATTATAGATAATTGAAAAATTGTTTTATTCTTATTTTGTTAACATTGGTCTCAATTAAGCATCGAGAGTTACATTTTATAATCACAGTGAGCACTGTTCACATGAATAGTTAAGTATATATATATATATAAAGGCCAGGAATTTCATTCCCATGTCTTCGTCAGTTGCGAGACCGGGACTGTGTCTTACACATAAAACAAAATACGTTTATCAGTTACATTGACATATCATCGGATGCTACATTTGACATATTTAGGTCGCCCATAACACGCTGGTGGGACATATACACTGATCACACACAACATTGTGGGTATACTGAGCGATAATTATATGACATATGTTAAACAAATTAAAACAAAATGTGTCGAACATGTTCAAACATTTTTGAACGCGAAACCTTGATTTACTGTATCAAAAACCCATCCTTGTTCTGCTACACGTGAAACTGTTATGTTATGATTCTTCGGGTGGTTCGCCACATGTACACACATTGTACCTCAATCTAATCACCCCGATACAATGTAATTTTACAATGTCGTTTGGTGGTATATAATCTACACGGTGGCTGCTAAGAATCACTGTGTATCTGCCTGTATTGTACAATAAATAAAATAGACATGTTTAACGGATACGACTGGGTGTTAATTCCTTAAACTCGAAATGCACGTTCACAGAGGTTGGGTTCAATTTCACCAATTTTCTGTAAATCATTTCGAGACTATATGGTGACTTTAATAAATAACGTATGCCATTCGGTGCCAGTTAATCAGTTACGTATATATTGGAAATAAAATGGGAATAATTAGTAAGCCATCACACAGATTTATCACAATTTCGCTTACAGGCAAAGTCGTTCACAATATAATTACGTACTCATGATTAAACAAGTACGTAATTTGCATATACTGATAGTAGCATTATATATGCAAACAGTTTAGTTTTCCTGATTATAGGAGTCATTTTATTTAACCATTTCAGCCCCGTGTTACTAACTATTCGGCACTGACCGGTATAACACAGTTTGCAAGTAGGTACTAGGTAAAACATGGTTACGTCATACATGACAAACCGCCTGCTAGACCCTTTTACTTTTGCATGGTTAAAATCACACCTCTGTGATTGACAATACGTTGTAGCATTTACTGTCATCTCATCTAAATCTCACGATCTAAAATATGGTTTCCCACAGGTCTCTGCTATGGGACACATTCTATTCATTCTATGTATGCATCAGCACGAGGTAAAACCTTCATAGAAAACAACATCGAGGTTCATATATATATATATATATGCTGATAACACACAACCGTATTCGATCGCAGTACTAACACATCACGTATGAAGAGCCGTGTATCCCTCATTTGCAAGTGGATGAACTGCGATCTTTTAAACTTAAATCCAGATAAGACACAGCTGTTATTTTTTCGGGTCTCGGCATAACCTTAATCAAATGGATTAATGAAAAATTCAAATTTGTGACACAGCATTTTGTCTGATATTAGAAATATCTACAAACTCGATCGTCGTCCATGCATTTGTAAACTTTAATACTGTTACATCCTACGTTATCGGGTCTCGCTGGTCAAGATAAACAAGGACCAGTGCTTTCAGAACACATCTACCATATCACGAAAATTAAAATGTTTGGCAATATAATATCTGTTCTATCCAACCTTTACTGGATATCAATACCCCAGCGTATTGACTTCAAACTTCTTCTAATCACTTCAAACTACTTATCAGCTAAAGACATGTAATCCCTATTTGTAATTTCCGTGCGCGGTCTTGGTTGATTACGGTAGGTTATTGTACTACGACTGTCGCGAGTTTGGAAGGTTTCGGTCAATTCAATTTATCATATATTCGTTGTTGCCGGCACTTTGATCCCATACCCTACATTATAACCAGGTTACGCCATATGGCAATTTTGAGACGACCGCGGGAAATACGTTCTATAATGTGATGCGTTGAATATTATTACGTTATTTCCGTTATCTAATATTCGTGCATGACCTCTTTACCGTGCGTACTACTGCATCATCGGTGTAACAAGTGGAGAACCGAGAGCACCTTGAAAGACCCTAAATATATGGCGCGATGATGGGTGGACTAATTGAAATCCTGGAGTCGGGTATGAATATTTTTGGGAAAAGATAGTTGTAAACATACATTTGCTAGAAAAAAGATTGCAAATAAGGGCAGTGATAAAATTGCAAACAATGCGTGTTTTAAAAATATATCACACGCGGTCGGCATGTGAGATGTAAATTTGTCAAATTGGGTATATAGCAAAATATTCGTCAGTGATATATCCAAGCATTCTGAACTCACTCACTCACTCACTCACATGCATGATCAATTAACACCATAAGATAATTATAACTCATAAATGAAAAACAAATATTGCAGTATGGTAACAATAATAAAGTATTAGACAAAATATAACACATAAATTAAATAGACCTCTTTCAGTTTTTCGAATGACTGTATCAATGAAAAAAATCGAAAGATGTAGGATTATAATTAATGTTTCAATATGCCTTCAACATGAAATGAGGTTCTCACATCCTATAAAACTGTATAATCCACACATAAACCAGTTGGATATTTTCAATTCAATCAAATTTGCGAAATTATCTCTGACAAACGGGTAGAACAGTTGTGAAAAAAAATTGCAAACAGTCGGCTATTTTAAAACAAAACGCGAAAAGTTCTCATTCTCATCTGTATGAGCTGGTAATACATTCTCATCTGTGTGAGTTAGCAATACATTATTATCTGTGTGATGAGAAATACATTTTACATTTGACGCCCGAACCAATGAAAATACACTTCATAGGAATATTTCATTTAGCATATTTCTGTACTTCCTGAATCGACGAAATGGTGTGGTGATTGGAGAATGTTACATGTGGGATGTACATTTGGTATTAAACTAAAAAGATTAGTTATTAATTCAATACTACTGCTAATCACTATTCAACTCAAGAGTCAATCAACGATTTTATTTTCAAAACACCTGAAAAAGAGTTCTATGTTCTATGTGTAATTTGGTGTTCGTATGCAAGGGATGTTTCCAAACAAAAACAACGAAATCGGACGAATTGTGAATTTAATTTTTGGCTGTGAAAGTTTGGTATTTTTTCCTGATTTGTAGGAATCTAAAAAAAGCAGATTGTCAACATGTCTCTTTTTTTTAGTCTCAAGTCGTATTCAAGATGGCTGCTTAAATATAGTACATATCGGTATATAAGTCGCATTTATTTGATTGTCACTTTAAAATCCGACGCGATATCACGTCTAAGTGTCCACTATTATTCAGACATTTCATTAATCACATAGGCATACTTCTGCTCATTCTCTTCATCTTTATAAAAATCATGAATTTCAAAGGATCAAACTAGCCAATCAACGAGCACAGTGTGCAACGACGAAAACGTTCTAATGTTATTCAATCGACCAATAGAAACATTTTGTTTCAGTTTGAATTGTGAAATTAAAATATATATATATAATATATTCGCCGAGATTAACACGCACTGACTCAAAGAAATTAAAAAACAATGTAGTCAATAATTATTAAGTTACACTAGTCTGCG